TATATATATATGTGTGTGTGTTGTGTGCTTAAATAGGAACCTGTCCATAGAGTTGTTCGTTCAGCTCACTCAGTGATGGAGTTCTCGTCAATACACCTGCCTGAATTTAGACTTAAGGTTAGCATGTAAGAAGCTTTGATATATAATGTGAATTGCTCGAAAAAATACGTACCTTAACACCTCCGGGAAAGCAAAATGAAGCCAGATCCTTCAAACGTAAAGCCACCTTTTTTCGAGGAGGGTACTTAAAGAGTACCTATTAAACAAAAATCAGGAAAAAAAAAATCCAGAAAACCCAACAATTTAATTAATCAGTAATGAGTACTATCTTATATGAATATCATGCAAACACAGCCAAACATAATAATTGGCAGTTTGTTACGAAGCATTGATTAAGCTGAAGCAAACCAAACCTGAGGCTCTAATGCCTGGCTTAAATCTGACATTTCCGTTCTTTCCATCTCTTGTTCGTACCTTCTTCTCTTATTACACGTGTCCTCAACGACCTCGAGATTAGTATCCGGACGAAGCCCAACAATAATGAAGTGCTCGAACAATGAAGCAGGTTCTTTAAATTTATCAGGGTCCTACATTGAAATACATTTTTTATTTTAATATAGACAAACTCAATCTTCACAAGAACCAAGAGTTGGAATCAAACTAAATAAAATCCCAGCCATCATAATAAAACATTTGTTTTTTTTTTCTTCTTATTATTTCTATGATTCTCAAAATTCGTCTATCTAAAACACAATAGAGCAAAATCACATAAAATAAATAAAATAAAATAAAATAAAATTGATGGGTCTTAACTTACCAATGCTCTTGATTGAATCTTGTACCACTGTCTCTTCTGATTGGCCAGCATCTCGGGGTCGAAAGAAAAATACTGTCGATCCTCACAGAAGCTTCGGCTACGCCAGTAAAGGGCCCTCTGAACCTGAGATTTCCATTTCTGGAAATTAATCGAGCTCGTGCTACGTGGTAATGAAGAGGTTAAGTCACTATGGGTACGCCTGTGCCCCTCTGGATGCTCGGGATTCGGTGTGTTACGGTTCGGGCTGCCCGAATACGAGCTGTGCAATGAATCACTAGCCCTTTTAACAGCTTTCTGAGAGAATTTGTGCAACATTTCAATAGGCGAATCAGGTGCCGACCACCAGTTGTCCTGAATGTCAATGTTTTCTTTTGATCTCATTTTTTGTTGCCTTAGAGAGTGTGTTTTTGTGGAGAAATCAATAGTGCTTTATATAGATAATGCGGTTCATTTGTAGCGGGGTTCATGGGATTGAGCTAAAATTTCATAAGCATATGAAATGAAAAGTCTAAAGCCATGCAGCATCAGAAGCCTAAACCGGCAAGTGTGGAAAAAAGATCCCTTTTTTTTCTATGGTCGGGTCAAAGGTTCACAATCACTTTGTTAATGTTATACTGCAGGAAATCCCGGCTGTTCGTTCGTAAATGATATTGTGTTCATTGATTCGAGCTTTTCGTTTTACGTCAGTCTTGCTCGAACCAAATGATGAAACCACAGACATAGGATATTTGTTATGATGTCCTTGTCCGGGTTACTCAGACGTCAATTTTCACCCTGTCACCAATTTGAAAAGGGAAATCAAGAAAAGCTTCCGAATTTTCGAAACAGGTAAATAAACGGGCGAAATCGCGTACATCCTCCTCTAACAGGAAAATCAACAAACACGAAATGGGCATCGAGTTTCTTG